CCAGCAAACCCGGAACCCCAAACCCTGAAATTCGGAACACTAAGCAGGCACGAGGGGGTACCTCTTGGGGCCGGAGATGCAGGGCTCCACGGCGCCCAGATCAAGCTCCAGCGATGAGGAGTAGTAGCGGTCCGCCTGGGGCTGTGGGGCGCGCAGAGGGATGTTGAAGGCGGGGAGAGGGGAAGGAGAGAGGGAGAGGAGAAGGTGTGGGCTGGATGCTGCAGCGAGATTGATGGGGACATTGACCGTGGCATGGGGTGGAGACTCATTTCATGACAGGACACAAGTCTTCGTGACAGGTGAACTGGTCATCATGACATCTCACCTCGTTGTAATCGACAAACATCTTGTTGGCTCTGAGGTATGATTTTTGAGGCGCCTCAAAATCTGGTCATGATGACATCTCACCTCATTGTAATCGACGAACATCTTGTTGGCTCTGAGGTAAGCCTCCACCATCTTCACCTGTTAATGACATGCCTGCCAACCCTCGTCAATGTCGCTCCCTGTATTATGTCACCTCGCTGTAACATGTCTCCTCATGTGTGTGGCATCTCACCTCATTGTAACATCTCACCTCATTGTAATCGACAAACATCTTGTTGGCTCTGAGGTAAGCCTCCACCATCTTCACCTGCACGCACAACACGGTACACGCGTTTCAGCGTACAGTCATTTCAACATACAACCATTCCAGCATACAATCTCCATACACGTGCCAGAAAAACCGAAGCGATTGAAGAGCAGTGGGGTATGCCAACGTGGCATTGTCTTCGGAGAAAAACCCCGTCATCACTACTCACTGAATGGTGCTATCTCACTGACCACCTCCTACCACTCACTTCTCACTCACTCACTCACTCACCGTGCTCTCATCTCGCCCAGATGTCTTGAGGTATGCCAGCGTGGCATCGTCCACGGGGAAGAACCCCATGGTGGCGCCATATTCAGGTGCCATGTTGGCAATGGTGGCCCTATCAGCAAGCGCCAGGTGGCGCATGCCGTCGCCGTGGAACTCCACGAACTTGCCCACCACGCCGTGCTGACGCAGCATGGCCGTACACGTCAGCACGAGGTCGGTGGCTGTCACGCCAGGCTGGAGCTTTCCAGTCAGCTTAAAGCCCACCACCTCGGGGAGCACCATGCTCATGGGCTGGGGGGAATTGCAAAGAGGGGGGAGGGATGAGTGGGGAGAGGGGGGAGAAAGAGGGGAAGGGAAGGGGAGGTGTGCGGGAGGGTTAGCTTGAAACCCACCACCTAGGGCAGCACCATGACCATGGTAAGCAGCAGGTAAAAGAAAAGAAAAAAAGTCTTGAAATGGAATCGGCAGCTTACTAATTGTTGCAAAACCATGCTCGAACAACGCACCATGGCAGTGAGAGGCACTGCTTCAGCTCACAGTCAGCCAGCCAGTCAGTAGTGGCTTCGGCCCTGATGCTTTCCACACCCCACGGCCCAACCCCCACCGCCTGATGCAACGCCAGCACCTATCGCCCAGTGCCATCCCACACGCACTTGCCCCAGGGTTTAGGGCCTCCGCCTCGATACCGCCCACGCCCCACCCCCTGAGACACCACCACCTATCACCCCAGACCACCACACGCACCACATGGCACTATGCGTCACCTCGCCTTTGCGTCAACGCACCTGCCCCAGCATGGTGGCCTCGGCCTCGATACCGCCCACGCCCCACCCCGCCACGCCCAGCCCGTCGATCATGGTGGTGTGCGAGTCCGTGCCCACCAGGCTGTCCGGGTAGAGAAAGCCGTTGTGCGCAAACACCACTCGGGCGAGATACTCCAAGTTAACCTGCCACAGCCAGAATAGGGGAGAAGGGAGGGGGGTTGGGGGGGTTGGGATGGGGGTGTTTGAGAGCCCGTCGATCATGGTGGTGTGCGAGTGCGTGCCCACCAGGCTGTCCGGGTACAGCAGGCCCTTGTGCGAAAACACCACTCGCGCCAGATACTCCAGGTTCACCTGCCACAGCCAGGCGCACACAGCAATGCACGCAGCAACAACACAACGATTCTCAAAACAAGGCGCGAGAGGGGGAAGGAGGGGAGAAGGTTGGTGGTTCACTTGACGCAGAACACCTGACCACACCCTCACCTGGCGCGAAGCACCTGACCGCTCACCTGCCGCACAACACCTGACTGCTCACCTGGTGTACAATCCCAGAGCCACGCGGGACGACGCGCATGTTCTGGAAGGCCTTGGCGCCCCATTTCAGAAACGCGAAGCGCTCGCTGTTGCGGTCGAACTCGAGCTGCATGTTCTGCGCCACGGCGCTGGCGGCCCTGCGGGTTCATCACGCTCACCTGGTGCACAATGCCAGGTCGATCACCAGATCGACAGGAACCTGCGGGTTGATCGCGCTCACGCTCACCAGCTGCGGCTTTTAAAATTACCATTGATCCCGCTCACCTGATGCACAATGCCGGAACCAGGAGGCACGACGCGCATGTTCTGGAAGGCCTTGGCTCCCCATTTCAGGAACGCGAAGCGCTCGCTGTTGCGGTCGAACTCGAGCTGCATGTTCTGCGCGACCGCGTTGGCGGAGCCCGCGACGTCCACCTGCACCGAGTGGTCGATCACCAGATCCACCGGCACCTGCGGGTTAATCGCGTTCGGATCGCCGCCCAGCGACTTCATCGCGTCGCGCATCGCTGCCAGATCCACCACGGCGGGCACGCCGGTAAAATCCTGCAGGGGAGAGGGGAAAAAAAAGAGGGAGGGGGGGGGGGGGGGGGGCAAGGGGGAGGGGAAGGGGAGAAGAGGAGGGAGGGATGATGTTAACGCTGACTGTATGCCATCAGGTGGGAAATGTAAGCGAAAGCGAAAAATTGCCAGTAAATTGAGAGGACGAGGGATCAAAAGCGACATGCACGCGCGTAATTGCTTCACCCTGCTCCCTCCGTACCTGCAACAGCACGCGGGCAGGCTTGAAAGGAATCTCCACTTGCTGCGGGGCGGTTTTCTCCCAGTCGAGAATCTTCTCCACGTCAGCAGGCAGAACCTGGAAATTGTCGCAGTTGCGCAGCGCGGACTCGAGCAGGATGCGGATGGAGTAGGGCAGGCGATCTGACGTGGCGTGACGTGGCGATCAAGGGTAGTGATAGTAAAAAGAGCAATTTTTAAGTAAAAAACTGTGCCGACATGGAGGGTAACAGCTAAATCAGCAGTTTTATCCACAATGACCTGAGTTTGATGAGACACCATCAAACCAGAAGGCAGCAGACGCAAAATACACGTTGCAATTAAGGCTTTAATGTTGTCAGGTTACTGGCTACTAAACTAAAAAAAAAACCACAACTTACGTGCACAGATGCACACTCACCAACGCGCGGGTCGTTGAGTGCAGGAAGACTGTAGTACTTCCCGTACGAGCCGCCGTCGGCCGATGGGAGGTCTGTGACGATGTTCTTAAACGGATTCTCGGGCGCTGCACACGCCAAAGCCCAGGCGCAGGGTGACAATAGAGGAGCACGAGTGGCCATGGAGTATCGCAGCATTGATAAGGGAGCCAGCAAGAAGTACGTGTTTTTCTTTGAAATTGCAGGATGACTGTAGAAAGGGATGTCCCATGCTGGGAATATAACGAGTGCAATAGGTTTATCGTCACAGGGATCGTACAGGATCGCGAGCTACCTGCGCTGGAGGCCTTTCGAGTGAGCATGTACGCCGACGGCACAGGCCGTGCGAGCAATCTGTGCGACACGTTGACGCCGCCAACCGTCGCCGACGACGACATGCGACGCCACAGTGACGTCTGACCATGACCAGTCACCCACGCACTTCGCATATTCTGCGCGATCTGCGGACGATCGCCGACAATCGAAGCCGATCTTTGAGCAGCCGCTGCTGACGCCGCTACAGGCGCTACAGCCGATCCGGCTGTAGCGCCGGACATGGCGTTCTGTAGGCTGGGCGCTACAGTCGACATCAAACGGACAACCCTAGACGCCTTCATGGCTACGGCTGCTTTCCCCGAAACTTCCGATAAACAGGGACCGCGGGTCGTACGGGAAAGTCGGGTTCCCGAGTGGATATGGGAAGTGCTCAAAAGAGCACAGGAGGTTGTGGGTGCGTGCGCTAGCATCAAGCTAAGAAGCTGGAATGAAAGAAACTTGTAGGAAGAGCAAAAGCAACAGCAAGAAAACGTTGTGGGGGAATGATGGCGGGAAAAGGGGAGGGAATGAGGGGGAAGGGGAAAGGAGGGGAGGGCCAGCCAGCTTATGTGTGTATCCCTACGGTTGCGATTTACGGCTATCTTGTGGCACCGCTCTTGAACGCAACGAACCAAGCGCAAACGTGACAGTAATGCTCGCGGCATGCATGCGTGGTGTTGATGTTTGTTGCGGCGGAGTGCTGGGCGCAGTGCAGAAGCATAGATTTTCCGTGCGCGGAGAGAACTTGGAGACCAATTTCCACGGATTTGGCGCAGCCGACAGGGGAGGCGGCGTGTGACGCGGAAAGCCCAAAGAGCATTGTGATTGGGTAAAAGGCTCCATAATACAAGGACCAGAGCGCCTTAATTGGGTGAAAATGACGTGGATGAGAAACTCTGCCACGTATAGGAACGGCCGCAAGATGTTGGGAAATGGATTATGTCAATGCGTTTTTGGCCGTTGGATCAATTCCCCTAGTCAATACTTCGGGAGATCCACATCCCACTCCGGTGCGTAGAAGTACGGCTTCATTGCGAATAGGTACAGGTTCGAAAGCTTCTGTGTACATATATGATCCAAGATATTGGCTTTTATGGACTTCTTGGACACTTTTTTGTTTGATTTTTGGCCTTGGAAAACACTTCGATGTAATCACCATAAGGAGATACTTGCGCCATTCGGCATCCACAATCTATTTCACGACCTTGATGGTCGTTTACATACAAATAGAACCTATTTGTACGGTACATACAGCTCGCAACAGCACACAACAGATCACTCAACTTAGAAACTATTAACATCCCTGTAGAGGGGTTCTCAGATTAGTACCAATCATTGTGCAGCTATGCCTTCCGACTTGAGCTCCTTGGGCCTCACAATGATGACCGGGCAAGCACTGGCAGGGTAGGAAGGCACAGGGGAAGTGGAGGAGCACAGAACACACAGAATTTTAGTATGGGAATGAGCAGAGGAATGTAGAAAGGTGAAGATAAAATGGCACAATCGGAGGAGAATTTGGAGTTGGAGGCTCAGGACTTTTCTGTTGCAAGACTAACCTGTGGTGCGCGCAATATTCACTGACTGAGCCGAGTAGAGCTCTGCAGTGGAAGGGGGAAAGAGTAGCACAGGCACAGCAGGGAAGCTGATGAGTGACAGGAATGCAAGCTGGTGAATACCAAGGAAGGAGACGAGGAGGGGAGGCAGACAACTTGTGTACTGCAACAGTCTGGAGAGGTGCAGAGCGAGACTTATGATGCTGACAACGAGCACGTCAGCGCACACTCATCACCTGAGGTCAGCTTTTCAGGCAAGCCAAGGGAGCAGCATTCTGGTGGGGTGCAAAGCAGCACTCACTTCTTCACGGCAGGGAGACCCCTGGTGCCGACAATGAGCACGTCGGCGCACACACGCATCACCTCGCGGCAGATCACGTCCCTCTCGTCGCCACACGCTATCCGCCAATCGCAGTCCACCTGCATTGCCACGTAACGCTGATCGTGAGATACCGCTCTTGGTCCCGAGCTTCTATTGAGCAACTTTGATATTAGGGCCCTCAAATGGCCAACACGAAGCGGTTTCGAAGGCTCAGAAACGGGGTGACGGTAACAGCAGAGGCAGTAGGTAGGACGGGGGAAGAGGGAGCGAGTGGATACTGGGGGAGATGAGGGCGCGAGGGGGAAGGGGGGTTGGGTTTCGACCAAGAGGCGAGGGGGGAAGGCGAGGCTTACATCGGCGTGGGCGCATCGGCGCATGTACTTTTCCACGACGGCTCGCGCTGACGTCATGGCCTGCTGCTCTAAACACGCGATTGCCTCCTTGGGGAGCGTACCGATGGCATCTGCGTGGCGCGTCGCAGGGAATGGGGGCAATGGACGACGGGGAACGAGGGGAGAAAGTGGGTGAGTGATGAGAAAGGCGGGTTGGGCGGAAATGGGAGGACGGGGGATGACTGTGAAATAGGTGTCTCGAGGGAAAGGAACATTGGAAAAAGGAGTAAAAGAAAAAGGGAGGAGACAGCAAAAGAGAGAACGGGCATACGAACTGACCGCTGTAGTTTCTGACGACGTGTATTAGTCGCACGTGGTCGTGTCGCTTGCAGTAATTCCGGAGCGCCCAGTTGAACGCGAGCTCCGACCCTGCACGCGCCGCGCACAATACAAGAGACAGTAGGGGGAAGGGCAAGAGATACGCGGATCAGCAACAGGATCGACCCTTATGCAGCTGATAAATGAGGCGGCGGATGAGCAACAGGGCGCGTGGAACTGATATCATGGCACGCGGATGAGCATCAGAGATGCCGGAGGTAGGCACGATACAGGGCCACGGATCGCCTCGCAGCACGTCAGATCCGACTCTGTATCCGTGCCAGTGCGTGTCGATGTTGGGACACGGCGGATCGGCAGCAGATCAGCAGTTGGATAGGCTGCAGAGTGCATGTGAACCGCACAGAACGGAGTCGGCCGACGATACAGAATCGAGGCGATGGACGATCAACGGTGGGTGCTCACCTTCACTGTTATCGACGGCTATTAGGATCTCGCGACAACTGCTGAAAAACGGCTCCATGCCTTCACTCTCCTCTTCTGCTCCGCTGGTCCTCCTCTCTGCTTCTCTGCCTTGTGCCGCTAACAAATGCGATGAGTGCACAAAAACTATTTATCGACAGAACCTAAGAAGTCCTGAAAAGAGTAAACACCCACTAAAACACCTTTCAGTATAGAAAGAATGAGTCAGCCTCCAGCAAACAAGAGTTATCTTTGGCTGCCGCTGCACTGAAGACGTTCAGATCTGTAAGGAGCGCTCGTTACTGCCTCTGTTATCGTCGAAACCTCTAGTAAGACGCTTGATGGGGATCGTCAAGGTAGGATGAAGACGAAGCGCGATGGAATATGCTGAGTGGGTGAGTCGACAGCTGAGGACGGTGTGGGAAGTCGAGGGATTTTGTGTGTACGAATCGATCTGCTCTGTGTGTGTACTAGTTTCCTCTCGCAACGTCAATTCGAAAACCGAGAGCAGATGAGGTGAAGCGTGTCAACGATGACAACCTGGGCCTGACCCAACCACGAGGCATCTCAGCTTCGCGTCGCGCGTCAGTAGGTGCGTGGAATTGGTTCTTCCGGTTCCGTGTCAAGCGGGTCGTGTCGCGTCGTGTGGGATGAAACTTGAGGATGACGGGTGTGCTTTTGTACAGTCTCGCTCGCGAATGCGGGAATAAAAGGGGAATAGTGGAAGGGGGCAGCAGGAGGACAAGTGATGGATGGATTGCTCGAAGAGGGCGGTTCAAGGTTTGCTGCCACGATAAAGAACATTATGCCACGATAAAGAGCGGTTTCTTCCAGGGCACCCAGAATGATTGTTGGAACCTAACGAATATGACCCCCGCTGATTGGAGGGATGGGATGACGGAAAACGCGTTGCGGGTTGCGGGCAGTCAGTCATGGATGGTCAGTCACCCCCAGCAGTCGGGGGAAACACGAGAACAGCTACGTAACGAGAGACACGAGAAGACAACCTGCCAAGTCCTGCGCTGACCGCGGTCGCGCATGTTACAATCATGCACGAATGGGGAGTGAGAGGGGGACGGTAGGGTGGGGTAAGGTGAGGAAGGGTGCGGTGGTGGTCATGGTGAGGTTTTTTCAATGTCAGCTCAGCTGCTGCTGGGTCGGTTGGTGCGACGCGATAGCACTGGTGGTCCAATGAGGGTGCAGAAGTAACCGAAAGCTGAATTTGGGGGTCAACGCACCAATACCTGATCCAACAAATTCATTTTCAAATAAAGCCACTCGGTGTCAATCTCGGTGTCCGTGCACTGTGCAAGAGGCGACCCTATGTTTCCAGCAGTGCAGGGTGCACCACGCTCAGAACCTCTTTCAGCCAAACATTCCCTCAACTATCCCCGCAAAACCATCCTCGCTGTTGTTCCCCATCATCACACGCCCATACGAACCGCGGTTGCCACCGGACTTTGAACGTTCAAAGCGTCGCGGCGCAGGTCCCTGCTTTCTGGGGCATCTGGGTGGAAAGTGGATACATGCGCTGTCCTCCAGCGAGGCAGGAGATTCGGTTCTCAGCCACGCATGCGGGCGATACTTGCTGCGCTGTCCTGCTGACTCTGCACGGTCCGGCATCGTTGCGAAGGGTAACATGTCGTCCGACGCTGGGCGCCATCGTTATCGAAATATTGTACTCATCGCATCATAGCCCACGCAAGGTGGCCAGGGTGAGCGTTGAGTGACCCGATTCAACCCACTGTACTGTAGAACCAACCAAACCAGCGCAGCGCGTATGGGGGCAACAGATAAAGTGCTGATACAGAAATGAACCGTTACAACTTGTCAAATATTACGTTAGTGGACTTGTAAATATGAATAATAAGGCTGGCACAAGGCTTAAGATGATGATACAATTCCAGACGGAAGTGGCCTTCCCTTGAGCGAAGGATAAAGAGCCTGGGAGCGCTTGAAGTCATAAATGTTGTCAATGACTTCCCTCTTCTCCTTGCTTGATACTTCCACCGACTCTTTCGCTCGCTCGTTGCCTCCACTGGCAGAATCACTTGCTCCACTCTCAGGGCTTACGGCACAGACGGGAGCAGTGCTGTCTGATCCATCCACAGCAGGCTCGGTGGCGTTTTCCACTGAACAGGTTGTTGCTGCTTCCTCGGGTGCTGCTTCCTTCTCATGCCTCTGCACCTGTTGGGGTGTCGGGGCCATACAGAATACCGTGCAAGAGCATGCATTACCAGCAATGCAAGTGCACAATCTTAGGTATACACACATATAGTGTGTGGTATAAAGACCTGAGCAACGGCACTGCATAGCACGTAAAGCACACTAAAAGGGAAAACAGCCCATTACTTAGTAATAACTACTCCCTGAGCGTGTGGTGTACCTGCACGCTGAGCAGCCTCCTATTGGGTGCGCCTCGCTTCACCACAGAGGCAAAGAAATGCGCCACGTGGGATGGGCGCAGCAATCGGAGCTCCGCCACCTGGCGCACGGGGTAAGGACAAAAAGAGAGGGACGGGTGGTGAGAGGGAGAAACCGTCCGAGGGAGAGGGATAAAACAGGGAAAGAAATGTCCACAAAGACTTGGGGGAGAGGGTCTCACCGTGGGAGGGTGATCCTTTGGGGGTGAGAATTGTGGGCTGGGAGCCTAAGGGGAGGGAATAGGCTATCGTTGAGGCCTGTTCAGCACGGTCAAAGGGAGTCTTTACCTCCAGGTAAGCACGGCCAAAGCTCATAATTACCTCCTGGTCAACGCGGTCAAAGGCCAGCATGGCATCGTCGATCTCCTTCCACATCACATTCGCCTCCTCCACCAGATTCTTCTTCCTCTCCTGCTTCTTCGCCACTAGCGCTGCCACATGGGTCTGATGGGGTTGGGCATGGTGGAGTGTGGTGCAGGGTGGTGGGGTGTGGTGCAATGCGGTAGTTAGTTAATGCAACATTCCTCCACCAGATTCTTCTTCCTCTCCTGCTTCTTCGCCACAAGCGCCGCCACATGGGTCTGATGGGGTTGGGTGTGGTGGGTTATGATGGGTTGTGGTGCAATGCGGTGGTTAGTGTAAGCAACGTGTGGAAATAAAATAACTCCCTCCCAGTTCTTGCTCTCCTGATTCGACGCCACCAGTGCCGCAACATGGGTTTGATGGGGTTGGGTGTGGGTAGGTATGGGTAGTAGTGCTTCTGCAATGCTTTGTGCATCCATGTCAATCAATTCGTGGAGATTTCGAAAAACAAGGCAGAAACAGACAAGAGATGCCACCCACCTGGAACTCCTCCTCAGTGATACCGGCCAGCTTGCTCTCTGCTGCCTGCAGAAACGCCTCCACCCGCCCGTCCAGGTCGCTCGCTGACTGCTCCCATGTGGAGCGGTGGGGAGGGGCGGAGAGTGGTGGAAATGGAAGTATGGGCAAGGAGGAAATGCGAGGTGAGGGAGAAGGGTAGGTGGGGACAGCTGACCCTCTTCTGCCTGGGGAAGAGTGGGGAGGGCTTATCAGCTGGCATACGAACCGACACATTGATTCTCACATGGCATGTGGACTGACGGATGAGTTGGCACATGAACTGGTAATGGAAGATTGGCAAATTCACGGAAAGAGCACACGACATTGCATGGGTTGGCAGATTGAGAACGAGAGTGCAACAGCAAGGATGACAGGCGGGCGGGTGAGGGGAGAAACGTGCCTTAACGTTTGATTGGATGATAAAGGTGATGCCGTGAACTGCATTCTCGTTGCTGTGAGGGCAATGGGGCAGTAGAGCAACAAGCGGCAGAGGCAACAGGAGGATAGAGGAATGTTGGAAGTGGGGGCGCACAAGGAGAGCGAGACAAGGCGTGTGGCACATGCACCATGGTTTGAGGAGATTGAAGGTCACCCACCGAGACATGAGGAAGACGATGTAGCCCAACTGCTGCACGGTGCGCAGCTCGTAGAACACGTCCCTTTCCAGCACCTGCACCAGCAGCTGCGCCACCACGTGCAGGCAGCAGCAGCAGCACACTCACCGTACCGGAAAAGGTCACTCACCGAGACATGAGGAAAACGATGTAGCCCAGCTGCTGCACAGTGCGCAGCTCGTAGAACACGTCCCTTTCCAGCACCTGCACCAGCAGCTGCGCCACCACGTGTGCTCGCACGCTCACCCTCCCTGCCACCTCCCCACTCGGCTTCTCTGCGGGCAGCCCGCTGTTCGCGCTCTCCCCCCCTGCCTCTGGTGCCGACGCCTGAGTCGCTTCCCCCGTGGCAGCTTCTCCCTTGCTGGGCGCTGGGGCTGCTGGCAGGACGATGGTTTCCCCGTCTTGACACACCTGCAGTGAGGGCACGCAGGGACACAAGGGCAGAGCTCTCACAATTGGGGCTCAAGTTCCCATCCCATCCCATCCCATCCCATCCCATCCCATCCCATCCCATCCCATCCCATTGCCAAACACAGCCACATTTTGAGGCGCCTCAAAACTTCTGAGGCGCCTCAAAACTCCCATTGCCAGCCGCACCATGAGCAGCTCAGGCAGCTGTAACCCCCTCGTCCCCTGCTTCCCTCTTCCCCTCCTCGCCTGCAGGTGGAAGGAACACGATGGTGGAGTTCTCATCATCTGGGCTGAGATTCCCACCAGCCAGCACAGCAACACTTTTAAGTCAACACAAAAGTCACCGCCGAGCTCTCGTCATCTGGGCTGAGATTCCCACCAGCCAGCACGGCAGCCCTGCCATCGCCCAGCCGCACCATGCGCAGCTCAGGCCGCTGTGCGGGCCCGAAGGCCACTGCTGTACCCCCCTTGACCTGCCTCCTCTCCCCTCCCCCCTCTCAATCACCCCCCTCACCTGCAGGTAGAACACGAGGGCCGAGTTCTCGTCATCAGGGGTTGAGGTTATCCCCAGCCAGCACGGCAGCACTGCCATCGCCCAGCCGCACCATGCGCAGCTCAGGCCGCTGTGCGGGAACGGGGGCCTGTGCTGCTGCGATCGGGCTGGATCGCAGGCGGGATTCCGTCTCCTGGGCGAATGCGATTGCTGATGTGGGGGCGATGTTGCCTGGAGGGACGAGGAAGGGACAGGGGGAGGGAGGAAAAGAGGGGGGGAAACTGGGGGTTTGTTGGTCACATTGTCAGCAACTGAAACTCAGCCAAGATTCTGCTGCTGTGGGGGAGATGTTGCCAGAAGAGCGAGGGTCCTGGAGAAGATGGGGGAGCAAACAGGGGCAGCTGGGGGTGCTGCACATACATGAGGGGCTGCTAGGAAAGCGAGCGAGAGGTCAGCAACGACACGAGAGAACGCGGTGGGGTTTAGTACCTCAGATTAAGGGTGAAAAGAAGGGGCAGCACCTGAGGCGAAGAGCTGGAGGGAGACGTGGGAGAGCAGCGAGGGCAGGAAGGCGGAGAGGTGCTCTGGCTGCAGGGCAGGCAGCGCAGCAAGGTAGTCTGAGAAGTGCCAGCGCCGGTGCGCCAGCAGCAGCGATGCGGAGTAGAGCGCCTGTGCGTACTGGCTGGTCGTAGCGGAAGTTTTCGAATTCCCTCTGCTCCTTCTCCTGTAAATGGGGAGTGGGAGGGAGGGGAAGGAGGGAGTGAGTGGGAGTGGGAGCAGCGCAGCAGCAGCGACGCGGAGTAGAGGGCCTGTGCGTACGGTACGGCTGGTCATAGCGGAAGTTCTCAAACTCCCGCTGCTCCTTCTCCTGTGGGCAAAGACGTGGGAGAGGGGGAACTGAGGGGGAAGACGAGTGGAGAGAGGAAGATCGCTTCTCGTATAGAGCTAGAAAAAAATGTGATGATGTGGAAAAGAAACCTCGATGACGTGGAAGCTCACCTCGATGACGTGGAAGCTCACCTCGATGACGTGGAACCCCACCTTGATGACGTGGAACCCCACCTTGATGACGTGGAAGCGGTCGGCATCAACAGTGTAGGTGACGAGGCGGTCGATGATCTTAGACACCAGCAGTAGCAGCTTGTGGCTGTACCCCCATGCTGATATCTGTGCGTGAGGTAATGGGACATGGGGGCATGCACAGACTAGTGATGATCTTTGCCAGCAGCAGCTTGTGGCTGTACCCCCATGCTGATATCTGAGTGTAAAGAGAAGGCAGGGGAAATAGAGAGAAGGGCCACAGGGGCATGCATGAGACAGAATTGGTAAAGCTCTTCACCCACCAGCAGCAGCACCCCATGCCTGCCATCCCTGCCATTTCTACCATATGTGCCATTCATACCATCCCAACCGTCCACCATTCCCAACATCCCTGCCATCCCTGCCTGCGCTGTCAGCTGTGCCTGAATGCCATGCACGCTTGGCACGATGCAGTGGTTGAGACCCGCAATCTCAGCATCGTATGCTGCATGCATGCTTTTAAAGTGGACTCGAGATTCAGATCGTATGCTGCATCCATGCGATGGAAGGGGGTGGCTTCTGAGCCAACTCAAGAGTTACCTGAATGCCGTGCACGCTTGGCACGATGGAGTAGTTGAGCCCTGCGATCTCAGCATCGTATGCTGCACAGGATGGTATGGCAGGGGGTGGTGCGGGGCAGGGGAAAACGGGGCAAAGGGGGGAGGAAAGGGGGGAGTAGTTGAGTCCTGCGATCTCAGCATCGTACGCTGAACAGGATGGCAGCGAGTGGTGCGCAGGGGGAAGCGCGGGGAAGGGGAAATGGGTGGAAGGGCGGGAGAAAAGCAAAGGGGCGAGGAAAGGTGCACGATGGAGTAGTTGAGCACTGAGATCTCAGCATCGTACGCTGGCAGTGAGTCGTGATGGCAGGGGTGGTGTGCAGGGGAGGGAAGATGCGTTGAGAGAGAAAGACGAGGGAAGTTAAGGGATGCGAAAGTTGAGGGATGCGAAAGTTGAGGGATGTGAAAGTTGAGGGATGCGAAAGTTGAAGGATGCGAAAATTGAGGGATGGGATATGTGAGGGCGGAGGGTGAGCTAGTTGGACATACACGCACACAGAGGGGTGAGGAAGAGGGAATGAGACAAGATAAAGCGCATGGGAATGGGACATACAATCACACTGCAACGTACCGTACGCGTTGAGGGCGTCTTGCAGCAGAGAGGCAAAGAGGCGAGTGAGGAGGTTTGAGCGGGGGGAAGTGTAGGCTTCAGGCGAGGCGTTTTGCATGAATAGCACTTGCCTTGGGCAGCCCAAAGAGTCTATTTATGAGGCGCGTCAAAATCACACTGCAACGTACGTACCATACGCGTTGAGGGCATCTTGCAGCAGAGAGGCGAAGAGGCGGGTGAGGAGGGCGGAGCGAGGGGAGGTGTAGGCTTCAGGCGAGGCGAGCTGCATGAAGAGCACGGCCTTGGGCAGGCCAAAGAGCGTGTCTGGCTTGTGCCACAGGCGCAGCATGGGGGTGGCGTGGATGACTGTGGGGGAGGAGACCTGGATAATGCATCGCGGTGGGGAGAGAGTGCATCACACGGAGTCAGTACGGGACAACTGAACAGGCGAAGAGTGTGCCGGGCTTGTGCCACAGGCGCAGCATGGGGGTGTTGTGGATGACCGTGGGGGGGAAGACGGTAGACCTGCACACTCGTCATGTGGAATGGAAGGGAGCGGCGAGCTATGAGACGGGCCACACTTGAAAGGCAAAATAGCATGTCGGGCTTGTGCCGGAGACGGGGCGTTTTCCCAGGCATGAACACGTAGCGTCTGGAATCTAGTGTGACTTTTAAGACGTCTCAAAAGTTTGCCCAGGCATGAACACGTAGCGTTTGAAATCTAGTGTGCGCACCTTGCCAGTGGGCGGCGTGAGAACATCCAGGTCGGTGGGCACAAACTCGTTGGGAGCCGGCAGATGCAGCTCGCTGCTGCTCCCACCATCCCCTGCTGCGCTGCCCGCACCATCAGCAGCAGCAGCAGCAGCAGCAGCCACACTTTCACTGGCTGCATCAGCAGCAGCACTGGGCACAAGAGGCGTGGTGGCAACTGGTGAAGGGCCAGCGTCAGGAGCAGCTGTTACTGCATCCCTCCAGCGCTGCCAAGGGAGGGAGAGGATGAGAAACAAAGCAAAAAAGAGTACGCGAATCAGTAATGAAAGAACCGCAAAAACGCACTAACTCTTGGAGCCTTTCGTACCACCATCCTTTGTTCCTCACGCGTGGCTTCCCTTTCAGTATTCAATTAACTCTTGACCAAACAACCTTACTCCATCCACCCGCTACCGCCCATCACCTGCAGCAAGTCATCCGGGATGCTCTGGGCGGAGTGCTTTGTCTTGTACCAGCGCTCCTCCTCTGTTGCTTCCGCCTCAAACCGCTTCGACAGCCAAAAGACCCTGAGAGTGCAGTCGCCGAGGAGGGGGGAGGTGAGGGGGGAAGAATGACAAAACGGGGGAGGGTGGAACAGTGACAAAAGAGCAGATGGTGAGACGAGCACGAACAATTTGGAGCGCCGGATTGAAACAAGGAGCACCGATTTGGAGCAAGGGGCACCGATTTGGAGCAAGGAGCACCGATTTGGAGCAAGGAGCACCGATTTGGAGCAAGGGGCACCGATTTGGAGCAAGGAGCACCGATTTGGAGCAAGGGGCACCGATTTGGAGCAAGGAGCACCCATTTGGAGCAAGGGGCACCTGACAGACTTCAACAAGGCACAGCAGCAGGCCGGCACACACACACACACACACTCACTGCACGTTGTCGGGAGTGAGGGCCTTGGCGAGGTCAGCTAGAACAGCAGGGTCAAAGTCTCGTGGGAGAGAGGCACCTGCTAGCCAGTCCTCCCGTGGGTACAGCTGCGGATGGGAGTGTTGAGTGGAGGGGGGGATCGTGAGGGGTGAGAGGCAGAGGGCCAGGTATAGGGAAGAGCATGCTAGTTCTGCAATGGTTTACAATAAACGCGCGTCCAGAAGCACAGGTGTGCGGAAACTTGCTGTTTGTACGTGCAGAGAGACGATGGGACGGAAGGAAGGATTCTCACCTGCATGCCGGCAGCAATGGCGGACGTGTAAAAGAAGGGCTGCTGCTTGTCCTGGAAGTGGAACTTGGTGGCGCACACCGCTGCCAGCTGTGGTGCACACACAACGTTGGGTGGGCGAGAAAGCAAGCGAAAAGGCATAAGGGTATTAGGGGGGACACTCCCTCGCAATGGTGATGGGGAGGAGTGGTTGGAACTTGCTGGCTCACATCACACTGCTGCAAGCTGTTGCAGGGGGCAGAACGGGAAGGGTGGGATGGGAGGTAGAGGGAGAAAGAACCAGAAGGGAACGAGGGGTGAAACTTCATGTCGTCGTAGACTCTGAGCGTTTCATACACTCACAGCACCCACCATTCTGGAAATGATCGGCAACCAGTCTTCGTTGCCATAAAACTAAACTCACTGCCAACAAGCGCTCCTCTCTCACAGCTCTCTACTTGCGCAGTGTCACGAATACAATGAGTCCCCTCGGGCACGGCACGGTAGGGATGAGCAAAGGGCGAACACGAACATGTTCGTCTTCGCCCCTTGTCGAACACCCTCTTTTGCCGAACCGAACACTGTTCGGTCCGGCGAACAGTTTAGGAAAAAACAGGTGTTCGCTGTTCGCCTGTGGAGGCGTGTTCGGGCGAACCTTGAACACGTTCGTGTTCGCCACGGGGCGTTCTACAGCAGCGCCACGAACACGAACGTGTTCGGGCGAACATCGAACACATTCGGGCGAACGATTTAAGCTGAAAAACAAAACCTGTTCGGTTCGTCTCGAACGTGTTCGAGGCGAACCGAACAGGTGTTCGCCACCTTGCTCATCCCTACGGCACGGTACAGTACCTCGTCGAAGATCCACTGCTGAATGCCCTGGCCGCTCTGAATGAGCCCGATGTACCGAAACACGAGCTCCGCCACCTCCATTGCGTGCTCTGGAGTGGTTGGGAAGCATGCGGCATGGGGGGATGGGGGGATTCAGGGGGAAGACATGGGCCATTGGACCACTCTGAATGAGCCCGATGTACCGAAACACGAGCTCCGCCACCTCCATTGCGTGCTCTGGAGTGGTTGGGAGGATGGGCATGGAGGGATTCAGGGGGGTGGCATGGGGAGGGCATAGGGGTGGCACAGGGCATGGGGAGGGGATAAGGGTGGCACAGGGCATGGGGAGGGGATAGGGGTGGCACAGGTCATGGGGCCGGGATAGGGGTGGCACAGGGCATGGGGAGGGGATAGGTGTGGCACAGGGCATGGGGCATGGGTGAAACACGAGCTCTGCCACCTCCATTGCATGCTCTGTGGTGTTTGGGAGGATGGGCACGAAGGGGATCGGATGGTGTAGGGCATGAGGGAAACAGCCCCGCTCCCACATCCCCATCGCATGCTGTGTGGTGATTCAGAAGAAAGGGGCTGGGGGGGAAGGAATCCCGGCCCATCCGTGGACAGCATGGGTCATGCTGGCTGCTGTGGCTGCAGTGCGGATATGCACGAAGCACTCACCATGGCCCAGGGGTCGATATTGACAGCAAAGAAGGCGTAGTGCTTGCTGCTGTGGCTGAGAGGCGACTTGAGAGACGAATCAAGGGACGCACTTACCATGACCCAGCTCTGTGTGCAATCTCAGTGCGCTTGCTGCTGTGGCTGGGATGGAGACTCAAAGTAAGAGCGCACTCACCATGGCCCAGGTCTGTGAGGTCGATGTTGACAGCAAAGAAGGCGTAGTGCTTGCTGCTGTGGCTGCGCCCCGCTCCCAGCGCGGTGGCCCAGCCTGCCAGGCACCGAGTGGACAAATGAGAGGGACGGCACAGAGGCACGCGTTGAAGGGTGGACGGGTGGAAGGAATGCATTAAACACGTGGAAGGGGTAGAACTAGTTAAAGCGGTGCAGGTTCTGGTCCGGTAAAGTGGACCATATGAGCTGTACCTCTTAGAACCACATTGAATCTCTCCCAACCTCCATACCCTCGCCCCCCACTCTCCTCACCTTTCTTCTTGAGCAATGCAAAGAGCGACCCGTGCCCCTCATGCCCAATGAGGTGGCCCAGGTAGCGCGAGGGTGTGGCGCAGTGCTGGTGCTGATCGGCCGGTGTAGGCCACGCACGTACCTTGTGGAACCGCATTGAATCTCTCCCAACCTCCACACCCTCCTTCCCCTCTCGTCACCTTTCTTCTTGAGCAGTGCAAACAGCGACCCGTGCCCCTCATGCCCAATGAGGTGGCCCAGGTAACGCGTGGGTGTGGCGCGGTGCAGGTGCTGGTCGGCCGGGGTGGGCCACACGAGCTCCAGCTTGTGCCCTTCTGCCACTGGCACTGCCCGCACTAGCTTCTGTGGGGGGGGAAGTGGGGGGGGGAAGGGTAACAAATGCAAGGGAGGGACAAAGGGGTGGAGGGGAGGGAGGGTGCAGGCACGTGAAAGAGGGTGCAGGTGCTGGTCGGCCGGGATGGATCACACGAGCTCCAGCTTGTGCCCCTCCGCCACTGGCACTGCCCGCACTAGCCTCTGCCAGGGGTGGGACAGGAAAAAGCAACGGGGGGGTGCATGTGGGCAGAAGGGGGGAGTCCTGCTCTGGTGCAGTGCCGGCAGTGGTCAACCAGGGTGGGCCACACAAGCTTCCAGCTTGTGCCCCTCCGCCACTGGCACTGCCCGCACTATCCTCTGAAGGGGGTCGGTCAGGGGATACAATACAGTAGGAGGGGGAGAGAGGGGAGAGAGTTAAGAACAGGCTTTGCTAGAGCGACCTTGCAGGCCGCTGCCGCTCTTGCTCATGACCAGCGACCCAAAGGCAGTGCAGCGCACATTGGTTTGCTCTACACCTCAAGAGTCGCACGGACTCGCAGCACAGGCTGATGTTTCTGAATTGACTATCGACCTCAAGCGACTATTTCGCATACAGCGGCTGCTGTTTCTCATGTCCAGAGACCTAGAGGTACCGCACCGCACCTTGGTGTATTCGGGACCGCAGGGGTCGCCAGGGATGTCAGGCTGCCGCAGTGCTTTGTTGGGGATGAGGGCAAAGCGACTCTCCACCATGGCCCGCAGCGACGAGAGAGAGTCTGAAGGCGGGGGGGGGCGGACAAGGGGAACGCAGGGGGGGATGCCGACAAGGGAGGGGGCAGGAGGTGGGGCTTGTGGGAACGAAGGGCAAAAGTGGGGAGTGGCAGAGTTCTCTTTAGAATAATGAATGAAGCAACAAATAGAGAGGGTGTCTGAGGGTGCGAGGAGGGGGTGCTGGGGAAAGAAGGGCGGGCGGAGGGTGAGGTGACAAAGGAAGGAAGGGCGGAGGGTGGGATCGCATTGGTTCTAAATATTCCGGAATAATGAACGGGAGAGAGTGGAGAAAAGCCCATGGCTGAGTTGAGGCGGTCACCTTTGCCACACACCACGAGGTGCATGAGGTTGGTGGAGTAGTACTGAAGGAGCTACCAGTCGTGACAAGCTATCAGCTCCTGCCACAAGTCTTATTAAGCGTACACGAAGGCCAGACCATGCCCATACACCACATTCATCCCTTCCTTACCAACCAGCACGCACCTTTGCCATACACCACGAGGTGCATGAGGTTAGCAGAGTAGTATTTCTCATAGAAGGCTACCAGCTCCTGCCGTATGTCCCTCCCACTCGCCTCTGGCACCTCCTTTAGCGTCTCCAGCGATCCTGTTGTGCCAATGACAGTCACATGGCATGCCATGACGTGACGTGATAAGCCATGACAATGCATGACAAGCCATGTCAATGCGTGACAAGCCATGTCAATGCATGACAAGCCATGTCAATGCGTGACAAGCCATGTCAATGCGTGACAAGCCATGACAATGCGTGACAAGCCATGTCAATGCGTGACAAGCCATGTCAATGCGTAACAAGCCATGTCAATGCGTGACAAGCCATGTCAATGCGTAACAAGCCATGTCAATGCGTGACAAGCCATGTCAATGCGTGACAAGCCATGACAATGCGTGACAAGCCATGACAATGCGTGACAAGCCATGTCATGCCATCCCGTGGCAAGCCAGCCATGCCATGCCATGCCGTGCCATGACACATAAGCATCCACCCACCCCATTTTGACATGTTTGCATGCATCAGGATTGACGATTAGGTATATGCAGGGCATGTGTAACATGGCATGTATGCATCAAGGAAGATACCAAGCCACGAGGCATGGATGCATGATGCGGCAAATACAAATCTGTAAAGCATGGAGCATGGAGCATGGAGCATGGAGCATGGAACATGGGCATAAGGCAAGGCAGGTAGAGAGACTGACCAACGTTGAACTTGTAGAAGGGATGCTGGGGCGAACAGAAGCTCTTTTGAAGCTGCCAGAGAGAAGGGGTGCGTGGGTTGAATCAAAGAGGAAATTCAAGGGGTGCAAAAGGCAGGCAGGGCATCACAAACAACAAAGAGCAGTAGCATGTTCCAAGTGCACAGCACAGGCATCAATGGACGCGACACACAGCCGTCACGATCCTCACAGATGCTGAACATCAGCTGAAATGCCATGGGGTGAATTTCTGGCACAGCGACAACTAGAATGAATGAGGTGCTGCAAGCTGCACCTGGCACTGTGTGTGAGACAGACGTACCTGGTTGATCCGCCATGGGTCGGAAATCAGGTTCTTGGTGTGCTCTGAAGGATTGTGTTAGGCAAAGCAGTAAAGAGGGTGGAACAACGGATCACAAGGTCGAATCATGAAACCACAGAGGTCGACCGAGCCTTGATGGTAAAGGAAAGAAAGACCCACGAGTCCAACATGACAGGTGTAGCGACGCAGGCAAGGCAAGGAAAGGATTTTTTTGTTTTTTTCTAGACACCTCAAAAATCATGACAGGTGGAACGAATCAGGCAAGGCAAGGATGAATGGGGAATGCAGCTTGTGTCAGAATGTTATTATCTAGCCTGTAGTGGGGTGCTCTATAACGAGTACAACCTAGTTAGGTTTTGCTATATGTACCCCAACTGCTGCTAGTGAAACCTCTCTTTCATCATTCTTCTTTTGAACTCTTGTTCATTCTGACATGGTATCAAAGCAGGTCGACCCCTTTCGGTCGATCCTGTGGGTGGGCCCGCCACCTAACTGCTTCCGCTGCTGTTCTACTTCTCGCGCGCCTCGGGCGCGCGATATCTTCTTCCTTTAGGGTTTCTTCATCCCGCCGTGCGCTCGGGGCGCGCGGCGGTTTTCTGCTGTGGGGACCCGCGCACAGCCCCCGTCCGTCTCGTCGCGTCGCCCTGCAGGCCGCGCGCGCCCCCCCTTCCGTCCGTCGCGGCGCCCTGGGGAGTAGCGTGCGGCCCCCTCCCGTCCGTCAGCGGCGCCCTGGGGAGATGCGTGCGCCCCCTGCCCGTCCGTCGCGGCGCCCTGGGGAGTCGTGCGCGGCCCCCGCCTGTCCGTCGCGGCGCCCTGGGGAGTCGTGCGCGGCCCCCGCCCATCCGTCGCGGCGCCCTCGGGAGCCGTGCGCGCCTCCCGTCCGTCTTTCGCGGCGCCCTGGGGAACCGCGCGCCCCCCCCCCCCCCCCCGTGCCCCCCCCCCCGTGCCCCCCCCCCCGTGCCCCCCCCCCCGTGCCCCCCCCCTCGTGCCCCCCCCCCCCGTGCTGCCCATTCCTCCCGTGCCGCCGTGCGTTCCGCGGTGGTGGGGGGTGTGGGGTGGCCCGATGGCAAGCATGGGGGTGCGCGGTGTGGGTGTTCCCCTCCTCCTTGTTCGTCTCCCACTGCTGCAGCTGCTGCTAAGGGGGGTGGAGGTGTGAGAGCCGCGGGGAGTGGAGTTGTGGGGGTGACGTGGTAGTGGAGCTAGGGGTGCAGCAGGGGGGTGTGTGGAAAGGAGGTGGGACTGTTTGGGGAGGCTAAGAGGAGGCCGCCGTCGTGTCGTGCGCAGCGCCTGTAGTCCGGAGCCGTCGCGCTCTCGGTAGCCCAGAGAGTCTTGCTGTGCCAGTCGCCTGTGGGTCCGTTGTTCCTGCCGCTCGTCGTAGCCGCGGAGCCAGATACTCCCGTACGTAGTCCGGTGCCCTCGTGCGTTCGGTAGCTACTGTGCCAGTCCTCCTGTTGCCCGTGTGTCTGCAGCTTCAGCCGTCGTCTCCCATCTTCTCTCCCTTCACAATTCCTCCTCTTCCTTACTTGCCCTCTGTGATCGCCTCTAGCTTTGCTTATAATTGTGAACTATTACTATGTCTGTTCATTGTGCTGATTACACCCCACTTTGGCTGTGGGGGTGTGTCAGAATGTTATTATCTAGCTTGTAGTGGGGTGCTCTATAGCGAGTACAACCCAGTTAGGGTTTGCTATATGTAGCCCAACTGCTGCTAGTGAAACCTCTCTTTCGTCATTCTTCTTTTGAACTCTTGTTCATTCTGACAGCTTGGCACCTGGGTGAGAACTGCACTGATCTCCCAACCTGGATGTGTAACATAAGCAGACATGCAACTCGCAACAAGGCCTCTGTACCTGAGTGCACCGCATTGATTTCCCGGTTGGTGGCATCGGCTGACATGAGCGGGCAGATGAAGAATTGGGCAAACCTGCCATCACATGATTTCACAAGGAGAACAACAGACGATGACAACAGCATCAGCTCGAACTGTATGCTGAACATCAGTTTAATTACTGCATGATGAAAAAATGAGGTTCAACACTCTATGTGAACCCCTGCAAGGCCCTTATCACCAACCTGTAAGGCCCTTGTGACCACGCACCTATCAAGTGCTTCATCCAGGAACTCAGCAGCCACGTCGAACTGGTAGTTGGTGTTCTCCGCTGCCGTGTACGCGTTCGACCGCCCGCTGTGCTGCGAGGGGAGGCGGGGCGGGGGCGGTAGAGTGGGGGATTGAGACGTCTCAAGACACATCGAACTGGTAGTTGGTGTTCTCCGCTGCCGTGTACGCGTTCGACCGCCCGCTGTACTGCGAGGGGGGAGGAGGAAGAAGAGGTGGGAGGGGGGGAGCGTAGGGTGGGTTTCGGTTGGGGGAGGATGGGGGAAGGGTTTTGAGACATCGAAGGTAGTTAGTGTTCTCTGTTACGTGTATGCGTTGGACCGGCCGCTGTGCTGCTAGGTGCACACGAACAGTGGAATGAAGGGGAACACGGAGACGGCTGCGCAACAGCAGCAGGGAAGCCGGGGACGAGCGAACGTCTGAGCTGACTTAGGACACCAGAGCATTCGTGGAGGAGGAGGGGGGGGAGGAGGGGTTGGTTTTGAGACGTCTCAAAGCACAGTGAAACATCAACTCTCAGAAAAAGGATGATGTCAAAATTGGGACTAAAGGCATGTTGCAGTTACCTTGTTGAGAAAGTCACTGTAGCTGTCCTCGATAGGGTACTTCTCGCTAGCATAGAAGAGCATGTGCTCTGTCACAGGAAGAAAAGTAGGGATGTGAAGAATTCAGCAACTTCAGCAAATGTTTAGAAAAAAAGGGCATTCTCCTCCGCGCTAGGGAAGCCCATCTCCCATGCAACATGTTGATAGCAACTGAATTCGAGGTGAGGAAGTTGGCATCATACAGCCATTCCCGTTCAGGTCAAACGCGACAAACTCTGTCCGGTCGCGAGAGGATCGACCGGAGCGATTCATTCAAGGAACGCGCGAATCCCACCCACCTAAGAAGTGAGCGAGGCCAGGCGCGTCGTCAGGATCGCTGAGCGACCCCACTCCCACGTCCATCGCCGCTGCAGCCTGCAGAGCAACGCAGACGGAATTTGCTGCTGAAATTTATCGAGAGAATGCGCCGAGGACGTAAGCTCAAGCATCAGCCTAGGACGGATCTGCAAGCTCGATCTACTCTCCGAGTAATCGGAACGCTCAGCGTGTAACGCACTAGGAATTGCCGTTACATAATCCTAAAGTTGGATTCGCACGGATGAAATATCTGGTTTAAAACGTGTATGGGCCTGACAGGTCTGAACAACAAGGCAGGACTGACTATAACGCGTTCATCTCGCGGAAATTCACCGCTCCGACACGCGCTATACGGAGAGACACACCTTATCGGTTTCAGGATCCGAGATAAGCAGCACGGTTAGCCCGTTCGGTAGTTCCAGCGCTTCGTACTGCCGCTGGTCGCACCTAGGAATCAAAATACCGCTGGCATTGCCTGAGCTGTTAGGACTGCTGCTCTCGACGCTACCACTCAACGGCGCTCCGTGCGGCGGCATCTCGCCTCTAGCAGTTGAAAGGCTGGAACTACTGACTGTTTCGCCGCTACTTGCTGTCTGGCTGGAGCAAGTGACGGAAAGCAAAGTGAGTGCGACTATTGCCGTCAAGCAGACGAGAATGGGAGATCTGAGCAGATCAGATGCCATGAGAAAAGTAGTGCCCTCGCTCCTCTTCAAATTTCAGAATTGCGTGTGAGCCACAGTGAGGGAGCGCCGCCCATCTGCTGCAATCTCGAGGTTCCCTTCAAATTTCGGGAGTGAGCAAAGCATACGCGATAAGACTACAGAGGAACACAAACTCAATACCATTTACCATATCCATGATATATCCCTTAGTTACATCCAGAAAAAGATCAACACTGAATAATGATGCTATATTTGAAGACCATGTATTCTGATTTTTAGAACAAGCATAAAACACACATGCATGGTCATGTTTCAAGAATCAACTAGGGAGCGACCTCGAGCAGAGATGGCTCATAGCCCTCAGGAGCCTCGAATCCGAGCAGGTTTATGTAAGTGGCTGTAACATTGGCAAGGCCTGCATTCGGCATGTCCTGCCGGAACCTGATGTTGGCTGGCAGCCCGGGACCACCAATGGCAATAGGAACCTGCAAGGTCGCACAGAGCAACAAATTGTGTACAAACAAAGGATGAGACGAACCAGTAAGCTCCAATTTTCTGGGGAAAGACAGACACAAACGGGGTAGGAGAGGGGATACACATGGCTGGTGCTGATAGGTCAGAAACTAGGATGGAAAATCTCATCGAGATCGACCCAGGCACGTACGGGGGCGAGGGTGTGCGAGGTGAGGGGCTCTGGGGTGCCGTCGGGGCCGAGGATGGGCTTGTGGGTCTTGTTGTTGCGCTGCACCATGTCATCGCAATTCCCGTGATCTGCTGTCAGACAATAGATGCCGCCCACCTGCTCCACCGCCTCCAGCAGCTCCTGATAAGGGGCAATGCGTAGGGGGGAGAATGCAAGGAGCAGAGAGTGGAAATACGAGTGAAAAGTGACGAAGCAAGGTGATGATGAGTGAAAGTGAGGAGTGAATGCATGCCACAGGAGCACGAGCTTCCCTCCCCTTCCCTTCTCAAAACTGTTATCCACAGCCCCACATGCCTACGCACGGCGTGAAACACGCCCCGTGTGCCCCACAACCCGCCTCACCCCATGCCTCTCGCCTTGAGCCCCACACCCCGTGCCCCACCACACCCGGTGCCCCTAGCGAACCCTCCCAGCCAGCCCTCTGCCCTCGCCTTTCCTCCCTCCATTCCCTCGTGCCTCAAGCCCTAAGCCCCATACCAGTGCCCCACCCCATGCCCCCTGCCCCCATGCCCCGCGCCCCTCACCTTGACACTGCCATCCACAGCCTCACAGGCCTCCAGCACGGCGTCAAACACGCCCGTGTGCCCCACCATGTCGCCAGTCCCCACAGCCCATGCCCCATCCACTGCCTCACCTTGACACTGCCATCCACTGCCTCACCTTGACGCTGCCGTCCACCGCCTCGCACGCCTCCAGCACGGCGTCGAACACACCCGTGTGCCCCACCATGTCACCGTTCGCCAGGTTCAGCCGAATGTAGTCGTACTTCCCCGACAGAATCGCATCCTTGCACGCAGCCGCGATCTCGCGCGCCTTCATCTTGGGCTTCTCGTTGAAGGGGCAGTTGTCGCTGGGCACCTCGTAGTAGGTCTCGAGCTCGTCATCCAGCTTGCCCGACCGGTTGCCGTTCCAAAAGAATGTCACGTGCCCAAACTTCTGCGTCTCACTGCGTGGGGCCATGGGTGGGGGGCGAATGGGGCAGGGGGGAAGACAGGAGAGAGGGAGGGGACGAGGGAGGGGATGAAGGAGGGGATGAGGGAGTGGGGAGGTGAAGAGGGAGGGGATGAGGGAGGAGGTAGTGCGAGGAGGAGAGATGGCATGGAGGGAGGGGTCGCACTTCGCAGCAATTTACCAGATTCTCATGCGGAGCATCTGGTTCAAGGGGCACTTGTCGCTGGGTACCTCGAAATATGCCTGAGATTCTGTTTCCAAAAACCTCTCCCCCAAACCCTGAACCGTCCTAAATCCCGCACATACTGACCTGCATGTAAGCTGCGCACACCGTTCTTTCCGAGTACACATTGTTCTGGTGCCTCTCGAATTCCCTGCACCGCATTGCCCACCACCAGTACAAACCTGCATGCGAAAGTGCGCACGCCGTTCTTCACGAGGTACTGCCCGGAGGTGTTTTCGATGACGGGCGGCGCGACGAGGAACTTTGCGGGCAGCTTGAGGTCGCCGTCGTACTGCATCATGCCTGCAAAGTGCACCTTGGGCACGCGGATGCGGTCAAACTGATGGAAGTCTGGGTACTCAAAGGCCTTGGAGATCTGAGGGGGTGGGAACACGGGAAGGTGTTTGAGTGGGGCAAACATGGGAGCGGAGAGTGAGAGTGCGCCAATAGACCACATCAAGCAGGCACCTTGGGCACGCGCACACGGCCGAATTGTTGGAAATCCGGGTACTCTAAGGCCTTGGAGATCTGTGGGGGTGGGAGCGGGGACAGAGGGAGGATGGGGCAGGGGAGGGGTCACACTGTGAATAGACCATTGCAGCACCTAGGCCACGCCCACGTGGTCGAACTGGTGGCAGTCCGGGTACTCGAAGGCCTTAGATATCTGGAATACGAAAAAAGAGGTTGGGGTGGGGCCAAGAGGGAGCGAATACGAAAGTGCGAGTGCGGGGAGACAGCCTTGAATATTCGCACTCTCATTTACAGGAAGCACTGGTTGTTCACGCTCGGGTCGTTCACGCTCGGATCGTCCGCTTTTTTATCACTCAGCGCCTCCATAAGGCGCCTCAGAAATTGCAAACCGTCTCACCTGAATCACGCGGTCAGCGCGGAAGTTCCAGATAACTCACGCATCCCCGTCCACAATCGGCCCCACGGGCTTGCCCTCATCATCCACGACCACCCACGGCGAGTAGTACTGATCGTTCACGCTAGCTTTCATCCACACTCGCTCACCTGAATCACACGATCCGCACGGAAGTTCCAGATAACAACGGCATCGCCGTCCACGATCGGTCCAACGGGCTTCTCCTCGTCATCCACGATCACCCACGGCGGGTAGTACTGGTCGTTCACGCTCGGGTCGTCCTCCTTGATCTTCTTGAGCGCCTCCAGGGCGGACTTGAACTTGAACGGCGCCTCGCCCAGCACGTGCGCGTGCCACCCGCGCTCCACGATCTTCCAGTCCGCCTGCGGAGGGGGAGAGACGGGGAACGGGGAACGAGGAGGGGGAGAAGTTGGGGTAGGGGGAGAGGGATTTCGGTTCGGGGCCTCTCGTGAGTCCCACACGTGCGCGGGGCACCCGCGCTCCGAAATATTAGCCGTCCAAGGAGTGTCAGCAAGGCACACGATACCTTTTAGGCACGACTTTTCAACACCAATTAAAACCACAGAAGGTACTTCCCTGCTAGTCTTGTCTGTACTACTCTGTGCTCGTTGCCATTCAACTAAGTCAAATCTCCCTCTCCCGAACTTTTAAGCCAATATTCTCCCTAACGTTATAATTTCACCTTTCACGTGACCGGTCTTCCACATGTTATGGACTACCACAGATAAACACTGACCACCACTGACCACCACTCACCTCGTAACGGTCCATGGTGACGCGCATGCGCCCGCCACCAGACGCGATCTTGGCGTCGCAGCCCTGCGCGCGCAGCAGCTCGAGATCCTTCTCCAGCTGCGCCACAAACTGCAGCGACGACCCGTCCGGCACATCGCGACCGTCCGTCAGCACGTGCACGCGCACGCGCTTCGCGCCGCGCTCCCACGCGCCGTGGATGGTGCCGATCACCTGGTCGTAGCGCGAGTGAACCCCGCCGTCGCTGCAAGGGTGAGAACACACGGCGATGGAACACAAGGATGAGACAACAACGGAAACCGCCGTATCGAGAAATACTCAGAAATTTGAGGATAAGAACCGGTAAACTTGCAAGATCCATTCCCGATCGCCGAAATCGGCAGACGAACGTTAATCTGGAAAGGTTGCACAGAGATTCTCGCGAAAGCCGATCGCGTGCTGACCTGAGCAGGCCGATCATGTGGAGCGTGCCGCCGTTGTCCCACGCCTCCTTGACGTAGTTAAAGCCGTCGCTCTTGTACATGTCACCCGTCTCGAGCGCCGTGTCCACCAGAGCCGCTCTGCACGGACACATGCAGACGAAAGGCGAGAATTCAGGTGAGTACAGGTAAACTGCGTAACTTTCGAGTCATTTCAAAGGCCGACTTGAGCACGGTGTCGACCAGCGCCGCTTTGCACGGACGCATGCAGGCGAAAGGTGAAGGATTTTCGCTTTCGAAGGAATATTCGATGAAGGCATACGGTTCAAAGAGCGGCGAAAAAGTACGACGAGCAAAGAAAGATTCAAAGAGCGACGCAAGATTTCATAAGCGACGAGAGATTCAACAAAGGATCAACTGATAACCAACAAGACGGTCAGGATTCAAGAGTGTAACACAAGATCACCCGTTAAAATCAACGGATCTGGCGATTCGAACGGCAACAAGGCACCAAGCACCGACTCCCTGTCCCAGCACTCACGCACCCTTGGTTGATGACCTTCCCCGCGCCCATGGCGTTGTGCCCCACTTCCGAGTTCCCCATGTCGCCGTCGCTCGGCAGCCCCACGGCCTTGCCGTGCGCCTTGATCGTGCGCCAGCGGTTAGGGCGGTTCTCGCGCAGCGCCTTGATGTGCGGGCAGTTGCCCTTGTAGATCGCGTTATAGTCGTCCTCGACATTCTCTCCCCACCCGTCGAGGATCATAAGCACGAGCGGCTTCCCGCGGGGAATCACGGGATGCGGCTTCAGCTCCCATTTGTCCTCGTTCACCATGGTTCTCGCGATTAAATCTCGCGGAGGCGGAGGAGTGAGGGCGGGAGACGGAGACACGGATCGGTCGCTCGCTCCTACGCGACTGGAGAGCCGAGGAGAGGTGAGGAGTGGGAGAGCAGCGAGAGCTGAAGTCTTGATCTGAGACTGAGCGAGACAGAGGCGTCGAGCTTTATGACGCAGCAGAGCAAGCATTGGGTCTGCCACGCGCAAAAGAATATTCCCAAGGTTGCGTTGCCTCCTCTTCCCCGTAGCGTTTGCGCACGCGGAAATGGATTCTTCCGCGAGTTTGAATCTGACAGGCGAAATGAGGCAAGCGGAGGACGGATTTCATCAGGCTCGGGGAATGGGGGGAAGTGGAGGTGAATGATGGGTTTCGCGGAGTCTGACAGCGGATGCGAAGTTTCTCTGACGAAGCGATACCTGCTCGGCGATATTCGTACAAGAGCAACCAATGGCTGGGAGAAGCTGACCAGCTTGGACAATTTCGCGATTTCTGGAGATATGCCTTCGCGACACAGACAGTCAAGTGACTGAACCTTTTTCAGCATACTTCGAATGCAATACAATTATTCATAACATCATACACTCGATAGATCTAAAGTTTAGAAAAGGTACTGCCATGATCAAGAAGAGGCTACTTCCGCTTTACCAATCTCATGGTCTCTGAATCATTTCCGTGGCGCGTCTTTTATGCCATGAAGGCCTTCTGGCTTATGACCTTCATAGGCTGAATAGCGTTAGCGTACTTCCATCATAAACTTGTTAGTAGTCGTCAGGCACTAACTTGTCCATTCGTTTGCTTCGAACACGGCGATATTGCGTGTCAAACGCTGCGCATTCGCAAAAATGCTGATTCAACCAACGCATTGACAACGTTCAACACCATGATCAAAGTCAGGAATGCATTAATGAAGTCAAGGACGACGGTCAGCGTCAGGAATGCATTAATCAAGTCAAGGACGACTCTTTGAACGCTCTCTATGCTGGGTGGAGCGTCATAAGAAAGGAAGCCGATACTCCAAAGCGAGCCGGCTCAGTCCGTCAATCAGAGATCAGCGATCGACGCTCGGCGATCAGCATCAAGCGATCAGCGGCGATCTGCAATTAGCATTAAGCGATCAGCGGCGATCTTCAATTCGCATTAAGCGATCAGAGATCAGCGGCGATCCGAGATCAGCGGCGATCCGCGATCAGCATCAGGAGCATCAGTTAGCGAGCGAGGCCCGATGTGCATCGGATTCTTCACCGGCTGCTGCTTTCGCCGGTACCCCCTTGGGTCACTGCCTCTGCTCCTGCAGCTCCTTCGGCCCGTCGCGCGTCGCGGCGAAGTTCCTATATGGAGGGATGTTCCTGGCCTCCGTTGTTGTAGCGTGGGTTCTTAGTTACTACGTCACCAATGCACTATACAATCTCTACAGTGAGTGCAATCCGTACACTACATTCGGAGCTAATCATATTTATTCATTCATTGGAATGCTGTGGTGGTAGCAACGTTCCGTTTCCTAGCAGTGCGAAGAAACGTCACATTCCGTTCGTCACACACATGCCTGTACCGCCATTGAGGTGAGCCGTGCATCCCAAGGCGATCCGTGCATCCCAAGGCGATCCGTGCATCCCAAGGTCAGCCGTGCATCCCAAGGTGAGCCGTGCATCCCAAGGTGAGCCGTGCATCCCAAAGTGAGCCGTGCATCCCAAGGTGAGCCGTGCTTCCCAAGGTGAGCCGTGCTTCCCAAGGTGAGCCGTGCATCCCAAGGTGAGCCGTGCTTCCCAAGGTGAGCATTTCTAATTAGTCTGTGGCTCACATTCTCATCGTGTTTTTTCACGGTTGTCGCCATCTCTGTCCAACTCAGGGTGTTCTTGCCTGTTGCTACATAGCCGGATGCTGCATACCTAGGTCAATCACGTGATGCAAAATAGTTGTAAGCATTTTGACTGTAAGTCACCTGGTAACCTCCTATCCCACTTGCGTGCATCTGCATCTGTATGTGTGTGTGCAGGTGGATGCAGGGCCGCTCACCACAGGTGTCATGGCGGTGTATTTCGTCTTCCTCTGCTGGTCGACAATCATGAGTGAGGCGCCCGCTGAGGCGTGCAACACTCGCCCTCGCCAGACCGGATACGGCGGGTGACTTGATATTCTCGTGAGGACATTTCAAGTTGCTATTATTCCACTTCGCACACTTATTACTCATACTTGAATCTGAATGACATGCATACATCCAGCAGTCCAGGATCATTTTTTGTAACTGACAAACTGCTACTTATGCTTCATTCTTCTTTTCTATTCTGCCTGTGCGCCTGTGCCACTCAGACATTCATGTAGGCGAGCATGAACATGTTGTACTTATTCTCATTCAGTTCTTCCTCCCCCCCGTCTTCACAACACACAGGCATTTAGTGGCACTCATAAGCATCGCCATATCAGTCTAGACCACAGGAATTGACTCCCGTTGCTTCTCGCTCCGGCCTTAAGACGAAGAATCCGCCGGTAACGTAGAGGTTCCCTACGGTTACGGCTTCTTCCATCTCGTGTTCCTTACCGGTTCAATGTACATGCCTATGATATTACTGGGGTGGAATATGAATCAAACCCCGGTTGAATGGAGCATCGATGGTGGTTGGATTAGCACCTGGATCAAGATGGCTTTGCTGTGGTTCTCTGCTTTGGTTTATGTGTGGACGCTCATTGCTCCCTTTGTGTTAAGGGGTAGAGAGTTCAGATGATTGCTTGCCACCCACCCTTCCATGCAAGTCATTCTAAGACAAGGAGCAGAATAGTGATTCAATCAGACTGAGAACATGTGAGCAAAGTTGAGAGGTACACATCAGGGCCCAAAATAGGTTTTAGCTCACTCTTTCAAATCAGGGTGGCAGGCCCCCCGTACCCTGACTAGTAGGGTAATTTTTCTCGTACACTGATTGTAGCAGCCTAAAAGTTATGGTACACTGATTTCAGCAGGGTAATATTTCCCATACATTGTTTCCTTCCTACGCACAAATCTTTACCACACCAACAGTTACTACTATTCACTAAAGTGTTCTGCACACAAGCTATACTATCTAGATAAATAAACCATCCTAAAGCCACTAGTCAACGTCTGCTGCACTAGCAACTGCCTCGACTGCAAATTGTGCAGTGCTGGCCTTCATGCCGGAGAAGTCCTTGGTGGATCGCCTGAGCTTCTCACCGCGGAATATGGCGACCACCTCGTACCAGTCTATGTCGTACTGCAGGAGGGAGCACCGAATCAGGTGCTCAAGGCTTGTATCGCCGAGGCTGCCGCGGTCCCACGTCTTGATCAGGTTCTGCTTGCTGAAGCCGCGCTCACATTCAACCGTGCTCAGAGGTTAGCAAGGCCGCATCGGCACGGTCCACGGTAATCAGAGTTAAGAACCCTGTCACCGGTGCGGTCCCTTTGAAGAATGTCGCATACAGAATCAGGTGCTTGCCATTCACCCGATCGGTGCTCTCGTCGAGACATATCCCTATCCATGGGGATTCCAGCAGGTGGCCGCGTTGAGTCTCTTGAAGGTACATAGAGGTGGCGCGCAACATCTCTTTGAATCCGTAACTGCGAGGACAAAACGCATGGCACATGAACACACATTGCATTAGCATCTCGTCAGCTTGAGTCATGGAACAAACACAAGCGCCAGAAACCGCACTTACTCGGTGTAGTAGGCGTCGTACCCTCCAGACGAAGGAAGGTCCGGCAATCCTTCCTTAGCCAAAAACCAACACAATGGAACAAACATGGCTATTGGCGCGTGAGCCTTGCAGATGAAGAGCGCGATGTGGAGGCAGCGGATGATGTGCCGTGTAGCTGCGTTGGTGCTCTGCCACCTTGTTAGTGTGGCTTGCTTCGCCTTTTCCGCGTCTTCTTTGGCCTTGTTTTCCAAGGCCTGCTTGTGGGATCTGCTGGATGTGTGCGCGCGGATGCTCCCTAGCTGCATGTCTCGCGCACCCTCACCTCTGACGCCGTAGGCAGTGTGCGCATTTGGATCTCCGTGCTTGATGCAGATGGCACATTTCAATGACGGCGTGCCGTTAGTCATGCGCATTAAGCGAAGCCAGCTGAATTTACCAGACCATTGGGAATCGAAAGTTGCTTTTACCGATTCGTACTCAGCTTCTGCTGAAGCGGTTGGAGGCTTCGGCTCGGCAGGAGCAGCACGGCGTGGTGGTGATGCCGCTTGTCTTGGAGGAGGGGCGCCCCAGAGCCTCTGCTGCTTGTATGACACGCCCACACGCTGTCGCTTCACGGACGCTGAGCTTTTTGTGGATGGGGCTGCAGTGGCTGGCTTCGACGGGCCTTCGCCGCCATCGGGAACAAGCTTAACAGACGGTTATGGCTCCCGGGACTTTGGCGAGGCTGAGCGCTCGCACGGGAAAACAGTGCCGGCAAGACATTCAGGGGATGGCTCACGCGCAAGCTGAGAGATAGGAACGCTATAGTTCTCAGCCAGCCGAGGTAACACACTGAGAACAGAGAGACCGTTCCTGGTGCTACCAGGCGGATCTGGCTCTGAGGTAGGCATTCGGAACAACAAACGAGAGGGAAGCGAGAGAATGGCGACAGTCTGAGAGACCCCTTGGGAATCACAAAGCCCAAGGGGCCTCAGGCAGCACAGTTCCCGCGCTGGTAGGGAACTGCATGGCATAGGATGCAAGGCCACAATGACTGCCAGGTGGTGGAAACGACAGCACGTACCCCACCTGGCGCGCAGTTTGGCAACGTTGGCAGTGACCGGTGCTTCAGGAACGCACGGAAACAGGGTGCGTTGGCTTTGATGTTGCTCAACGGACCAATCGTAGCTGTGCGCGGGCATCCCTGCTGGATTTGCGTTGGCGCGCCAGTGGGTGTATCGAACAAATGGTCCAATGGGACCGTGGTGCATTTTATCGTGGCGCGTACTGTGGCGGAAGCCGCGGTACAACAGAGTTCCGGTAAAAGGGTAGTTGAACAACTACCCTGATACAGTCAGAGTAACAAAAAAAT